TTCCACACGGTTATATGGTATTCGGAGTAACGAAAGTAACAAACGAACCTACCACAAGGTTCAGTGTAAAAAATAAAAATCTCGATAAAATCAAAAGCATCAGAGAGATAATCTCAAGGGACTCGATTGACACTACCTTGTAACAATTTCCTGACAAGGGATAATCATAAAGAGTAATCATCTTGGAACTCTGAGCGTTAAAAATCGTTCCCCGTTTTTATACAATTTCCACGGTAACGCATCATCACGAATCATCCAATCAAACAACCTGTCAAAGAGGAGCAGGCGCATGAATAAAAAAATCAATGGTAATTAAAAATTTTATTTTTCATGGGCATCGACCGCATGAATGAGCTAATTATTGAATCATTTTTAAATTTAAAAACAAAAAAAAACGTATATACTGTATATACTGTATATACGTATTTAAAAAAAACTTTTTTTATATATTTCTATTCAAATACACACACGTCTATTTTTATTTTTATTTTAAATTATTTATTAAATTATTAATAAAAATATGAATTTTGATTTTTTTTTTCCCAATTATTTTTGTCCCATACTGTATATTCAAATAATACGATTTAAAAAAAATTATATTATTACATTCATTATTTTAATTTAATATACTAATAAAATTATTTTTTATTTCCTATTAATGTAATCAATAATATTAAATTTGGTTTTAAAATTTTTATAAAATTTAATAATTTAAAAATTCGATACATGAATTATAATATAATTACATATTATAAATTGAAAATTTTAATATATCAAATAAAAATTTTTTTGATTCTGAGTTTTATGATTAAATTTTTTTTCAAATAACATTTTTTTTTAAATTAAAATTTTTTAATTAATTATAAATTCATTATATAATAATTTTCTTTTTTTTTTTAGTTCAATTATTTTCTTTTTATTTAAATATCAATTTTAAAATTAATAATAATAAAGAAAAAAAATAATTATAGAATTTTTTTGTTTTTATTAAATTGTAGATTATTTAAAAAATAATTTGAACAATATTTAACTTTCATAATTTGTATTTATTTGTATTTACGTACCGTCTATATGATTTGCAATTTTCATATGATATTAATTTTCAATTTGTTTATTACAGTCATCCTCCCATATAGTCACCTCCCATATAATCACACCATATAAAAAACCTCTATATAATCACACCTCTTGG